TCCTTTTATGACTTGTTGGGCACTAAGGAAGATGAGTGACAGGTTTTCCTTATGCAGCTGACATACTGAGCAGCATCAATGTGGGGACTGGAATCAGAACACAGTTTTATTTTTAATCTTTATTCAGAGGTGGTAATCTTTTGCTCATGAGAATCTTTCTTTCTTTTCTTTTTTTTTTTTTTTTTTTTGAGACGGAGTCTCGCTTTGTTGCCCAAGCTGGAGTGCAGTGGCGGGGTCTTGGCTCACTGCAAGCTCCACCTGCCGGGTTCACGCCATTCTCCTGCCTCAGCCTCCCAAGTAGCAGGGACTACAGGCGCCCGCCACTGTGCCCGGCTAATTTTTTGTATTTTTAGTAGAGACAGGGTTTCACCATGTTAGCCAGGATGGTCTCGATCTCCTGACCTCATGATCTGCCTGCTTTGGCCTCCCAAAGTGCTGGGATTATAGGCATGAGCCACCACGCCTGGCCACCTATGGGAATCTTTCTTTCTGCAGGTTCATGATTTTTCCCTCACTCTTAGGAAGTAGTGCAACATTTCCTTAAGCAACTCAATTCAGAGTTTATGACGTCCAACTCCTTGTAATCATCAAAATGACATGATTAACTTTAGAATAACACCTTTTTCCCTCTGCCATTGGGATCCGCTTTTCAGGACAGGGAGCAAGGTCCTGTTGACTTTCTCCATCACTTGTTGATTATTCCAAGCAAGGTCCCAGTAGGGAAGGCAGATGGGAGAAAAATAAGAATAAGGGAACTTTGTGCACTGCGGGCCCCGCGGTTGGTAAAGTGGACTGCGTCTTCCATGAAGTCCTTAGGAGGACCTCTTGAAGGCTTACTGCTGGAACCCTCCCTCTTGCAATTTCCTTGACCCAAGGGGAAACATATTTAATCTGAGTGGTCAAGGAGACTCCTTTTTCAGTCTTTGGTCACCTGATGTTGTGCACTTCCTAAAATCTTTTCCCTGTAGAGGTCTCGTTACTCCTTCACCTGGCCAGATCAGGCAGAACTCTGGACAGCAGCTTCCTACCACAGCCTCCTCATCATGGGAAAGAACATCTGTTGCCCCATGCAAACTCTAGGAGACCAGCCAAATCTCAATACATAATTTTTTAACCTTGTTATTTTTCTCAACATTTCTGGAGCAGGCTGAGGCTACAGCCCATAGCTGGTTTTCCTTTTCTTTCGTGTGAGTCAGGCCCCAGTCTCCCGTGTCTCCCAATGCCAGGGAACAGCATGTCAACTCTTTTCGAGTGGACCCTTTGGAAGCTACCCACTGCCTTGAAGGTCTTCGGACAGATGGCCCACTTTTGCCCCCTGACAGTCCTAGATATTCTCGCAAAGAGGAAGATAGGGAAACAGCAGAACAACAGATTTCTCAAAATAAAATTATATATATATGCACACGTATATGCCTTTACTAAACCTCTTCCTCAAAGCTTCCCTCTGATTCTGTTGTACCTTTGATCTTACTGAGTCTCCAAAAATTGAGGGATTTTCATTAACTCTATCAATTCTGCATTGAGAAGTGGTGAACGGGTTCATCTCTCCCTCATTTTTGTAATCTGATATGTACTGTATTGGTGCTTCAGTTGAAACCAGTTATAGAAAGAGTCTCATTCTAACATCCTGTTATAGTTATGTTGAGGCCATAGCTAACATTTGTGGTTAGAAAAACATATTTGAAAGACAATGAATGAAACAATGGAGAATATTTTGATTGCCCTAATACAAGCATATATTTTTATGGTTTTATGTTTGAGTCTGTGAAACAAGACTTCTTTTATAGCTGCAATCTGATTGTACATGTGCTTTTGCAGTCTGTTCTTATAAAGTTATTCCTTACAAACCTTTTGTTAAATCAGGCTTGGAATTTTAATGGTGCATATTATCCTGTATATTTTGGTGCCATTTATTCATCAAAGACTCTTGCAATGCCTGTTCTGTAGCCAATGCTGACTTAGGTACTAGAGTTGCAAAAGTTCAAAGAACTGAAATAAAACGTCTATTTAGGGGGCTGCAAATGATTCCAATGCAATACTGTGTTTGCCATAGCACAGTTAGCTACATGAGTTGAGGGTAGAGAATAAGATGCATCTATGTTTTTGAAAGGAAATTAGGAAGGAACCACACAGAAGGTGTTGAGAGATGGTGGAGGATGCGTGGGAGGCAGACAGGCAAGAGGAGGCCCCCTTGGTGGATGGAACAGCTTGTGCTAATGCATGGGCTTTATTTATGTCTGTTGGAAAAGGTGTGAATGTGTTTTTTTCCTCAAAACTGTCACTGAATTGTTCTAAAATTACTTATTAAATAGTCCTCTCTCTTCAAGTGTAGACTTATGTTGAAAAGCCTGCTTTATCATATATTAAGTTAATTGTGTTGTTTGGTCTACGTAAAGTCTCTCCATACAATTCTAGGGATTTATAATTTTATTTGAGGGCCAGAACCACACTTCTCAAAGTAGTGCTGCTTTTTAATCTTTTCAAGTACTGAATAAGCTAATCTGCCTTTACAGCTTTTTTGCCAAGCAATTCTTTTCCAAATTGTACTAATTCTAATAGTGTCTTAAAGGAATCTAGTTCTCTTTTGATATTTTAAGATGAGGTGAAAATATTTTCGATATTTTGGAACACTTGGAGACAAAATTGCATCAAATGTTTAGCCCAAGTAATCACTGACTTTATTGCATTCATTGCAGAGGACTTTGGCTTAAAATGAAAATCTTACACAAGAGGCTTGAAGCCAAATCCTATAGATTTCTTGAAAATGTTTTGTTGCTGTTATTGCTGGTGTTTTATTTAGTTTAGGTTAGTTTCTTCATGCAAGCCTAAATGCATATAACTTCATGGTCTCTTAACTGATTTCAAAATAGCTGAACAGTTTTTTAAAGCATGAGTTTCAGTCTAAATCTTACAAACTGTAGTTTGATCTATTGAGCAAAATCACCAGATAATTGCCTACTTATATGTTTTACATATGGAGTTATTCTTATGAGTATTTGAAGAAGGTTAAGCCCTTGATTTTATGCTCTGTTGAGTTTGTATAGATTTAGTTACACAGATTATTTTTCTCTCCTTGCTCCTAAAACACTGAAGAAAATATACACACAAAATACAACATACATAGTAGAGGCCCCATTCTGAGCCAAAGTTAAGGTTCACATATGGCCCCCAAATACCTGATAAGCTAATGGAGTGGGTCCTTAGGAGTTGCCTGACATGAGGACCACTGGTGATACGCGAATGAGGAGGAGGAGATGGTAACATACCCTGAGGTATGGTACAGATAGCCTGGTGTCTTTCACCACCTTTGGAGAGTCAGAAGGATAATCGTTTTTGAAAGGTTTATGCCACGCAATATGTGGCCCCAGCAATACTGCCAAAGTGACAGAATGGCTTTGGAACTTCAACTTGCTCTGGAGTAATTCCAGGCAAGTAATGTAAGTAAGCATTGCTGTGAGGCATATATGAAGTTACATCTCTAGGTGGCCTTGCATACAACTTACATGCATGTGGGCAGATGGAGGGAAGATTATGATATATGCCACATGACAGCAGACTCCACCCCAAGAAAACTCAGGTAAGACCAATCTAGGGCTCTGTAGTCTAACTGCATGTAGTTTACAGGGTCTCAAAGTCTTGAGCATCCCTATGGATTAATAACCAGGGGAAATAAGCTATTGCTACTAATAATATGTGTTGACACACAGATCTGGCAGAAAATGGATTAGATTTAAACAGCATTTGGATAACTTACAGTTAGTAAATATTAACTGAACTACACTGAACATTTTCTTGAGTTCTGTAATTCTAAAAGAGTTTGAAATTGTCCTAAAATCAAAACAAACAAATAGGTAACCCTAAAAATTTTGAGAAACTGGCAGCATCATGTAGTAGGAAACTCATTGAATTGGACTCAGAGGGTGTTATTTATGTATTTATTCATTTTTATTCATTCATAATAATTGTACATATTTATAGAGTACATGTGATATTTTGATACATGTATACAATTTCTAACAATCAAGTCAGGGTAATTAGGATACTCATCAACTCAAACATTTATCTTTTTGTGTGTGTGTTGGGACCGTTTCACATCTTCTCTTCTAGCTATTTTGAAATATACAATTAATTATTGTTCACTTCAATCCACAAAAGGCATTATTTCTAGTGCAGATGCTTTTTGAATTATGATGGGGTTATGCCCTAATAAAGGCATCGTAAGTTGAAAATACGGTAAGTCAAAATCACATTTTTGGTTTTTTTTAGACAGAGTCTCACTCTGTTGCCGGGCTGGAGTGCAGTGGCGCGATCTCAGCTCACTGCAACCTCTGTCTCCCGGGTTCAAGCAATTCTCCTGCTTCAGCCTTTAGAGTAGCTGGGACTACAGACATGTGCCACTACATCCAGCTAATTTTTGTTTTTTTTGTGTTTTTTTTTTTTGTTTTTTTTTGTTTTTTTTTTTAGTAGAGACAGGGCTTTACCATATTGCCCAGGATGGTCTCCAAAGTGCTGGGATTATAGGCATGAGCCACCACGCCCGGCCCCAAAACACATTTTATGCATTGTAGAATCTGTTGTTTGGCCTTATGATTGTGTGGCTGACTGGGAGCTATGGCTTAAGACAGTTGCATCACTAGCTCAGGAAAAGATCAAAATTCAAAATTTGAAGCACAGTTTCTAGTGAATATGTATTACTTTTGCACCATGATAAAGTCAAAAACATCATAAGTAGAACCATCTTAAATCAGGAACTGTCTGTGTAAGTTCTGTTGCTAACTTGAGACACTCATTTCACCTCTCTGATCTCATATGCCTTATTTACAAAGTGAAGGACTTAGGAAATGCGCCACAAAAGTAAATTATAGTCAGTCTCATGTATATAGTGGGAAAATTCTTCACTAAAATACTAACAAATAGAATCTAACAGTGTATTAAGGAATAATGCATCTTGACCATGGAGGGTTTATTTCAGGCACAGAAGAAGGATTCAAGGTTATGAATTCTGTTAATAGAGTTTATTGCATAAATATTTTAAAGGAGAAAACCAACTGATTATCTTTATGAATTTCAAATTGTATTTGATACTATTTAGCAACCATTCTGATAAAAGAAGACACACCTCTGTGGAATGTAGATCTCTTTTTATCTTGATAAAATCTAGAAATCAGTAACAAATAGTAATGAAGGACTTAAGACATTTCTGTTATAGATAAGACTAAGTCAAGGATACCCACTGTGGTAGCTAGTCTGTAAGGGTAGCACTCAGTAGACACTCCTCCTGGAATAATGCCTGTGTGTAGTCATTTCCATATTGAATCTGACTAACCTGTGACTTCCTAACAAAGCAGAAAGTTTGTTCACAGACGTACTGTGGTGGCAATCCCAAGATTGCCTCAAAAAGACCCAACACCACACACTTTTCTGTGCTTAGAAGCCATATGCCACATAAGACATTAAGACCTCCGACTACTCTTCTGAAGAGAGAGCCCACGGGCAGAGACTCTGCAGGGTGAGATGCCATGGGGAGACAGAAGCACATGGAATAGCACCTATAAGCCCGACATGTGAGTGATGAAGCCAAAACATTAAGCAAAACCTGCTATTTTACATTTCAGTGCCTGGGCTGTAGCCTGATTAGTCAGAGTAATTAAATGATCATGACATAGGTACAAGATTAAGTCAATAAATTAGGTAACATAACAGAGAATCCTGACACAAACTCAAGTACCTAAGGAAATCTAATATATATGTATGCATATATATGTAAATATATACATTTGTAAATATATATGTAAATATATACATATATCTAAATGAGAATCATATTGGTGGAAACAACATGAGTCATGCATGCAATAAATGTTGCTTGGACAATTGACATGCAGATGGACTTAAGGAAACATATAGAGTTAGTATCCCATCATAAACAAAAATAAACTTCTGATGCATAAAATATTTCTATTTTAAAAAATTGTTTAAATACTAGAGGAAAGCAGGGAAATGTTTTCTATAATCTAGGGGTGGGGATGCTATTATAAGCAATTAAAACCTCAGAAACCATAAACTAAATGATATACTGAAATTGACTACAGAAAAAAATAGAAACAAACACTTTGGCGTGGCAAAATCACACTACAAACAAAATTAAATGCCAGACTGGAGGAAATATTTGCAACCTGTTTGCAGATAAATGGGCAAAAATCCTTACTATACAACAGTTTTACAATGGAACAAAATTTTACTGAACACAACTTTATTCTTATAAATCATTGTGCAAATGATTGATGAATATTCCATAGAAAACTGAGAAAAGGCTACGAATAAGCATTTCACAGATGCAGAATACAAATATCTAGTAAAATTATTAATAACGTAAAATGCAAACTATAATGAGATTGTATTTGTTTGTTTGTTTGTGCCAATATTAAATGTTTTGAAGAGTAAGAACATTTGCTTTAGGAAATGGTCACTCTCCAATTGTTCTCTGGGGTTCAAATTTTAATATCTCTTCCTAAAAGTGCTTTTTATTGAAGAATAATGCACATAATCAATAGTATTTAAAACTGAAATATCCTTCTTCGTAAAGTATCATCAAGCAAGCATTTGTGTAACTACCATAAAGCCAGGGAATAAGTAGCCAGCATCATAAAAGCCCACTTTCTGCCACTTTTTGAGGTAACTAGTATTCTAATTTTTGATACCATAGTTTAGTTTTACCCATCTTTGAGTTTTATATAAGCAGGCTTATTCTATAATATGTGCCTTGTTTTGCTCAATATTACGTTTGTGAGACTTGCTTTTGCCATCACATGTAAGTGCAATCCTAATGTGTTTATTGTTGATTAAAATATCACTCTATAAATATACACAATTTACCATTCTAGCTCTAACATTTGAGGTGTTTTTAGTTTTTTGGCCATTATGTGTAAGGATGCTGTGGACATTCTTGTATATGTCTTTGTGTCTCTATACAAAGCAATTTTGTCCAGTTTATACCTAGGACTGGAAGTGCTTACTCATAGGGAATGACTATGTTCAACTTTATTGCATAATGCCAGACTGTTTCCCAAAGTTGCTGTACTAATTTACATTCCTACCAGCAATGCATAAGCATTCAAGGTGCTCCACAATATTATCAACACTCGATAATATTGCTCTTCTTAACTTTAACCATTTTGAAATGTGTAGAGCTTTAGTTTTCATTTTCCTTATGACTAATGAAATTTAGCACCTTTTCAAATATGTATTAGTCACCTGAATTAGTTTTATAGATGAGGGCCTGTACAAATACAGCAAGTCCTCAAATAACATTGTTTTATAATAACCTTAAGAGAAAAAAAGTCAATTCCCAGCTAAGGCCACTGTCTATGTGGAGTTGACATGTTCTCCCCAGGTCTGCACGCATTTTGTCCAGGTCCTCCAGTTTCCTCCCACATCTCAAAGATGTGCACATTAGGTGAATTGGTGGTCTAAAGTGTCCCAGTCTGAGTGAATGTGGACGTGGGTGTGAGTGTGCCCTGTGACAGGATGGTGTCCTGTCCAGGATGCATTTCCACTTGCACCCTGAGCCCCTAGAGAGGCTCCAGCACTTGAGACTCTGAACTGGAATAAGTGAATAAAGTTATCTTGTTTTTATCAATCTTTCTTAAATGTAGGTGTAATTCACATGTATTTCAATGTTTAATATTAAATGTATTTTGGTCTTTTTTTAGAAGTTTGGTGATTTTTTGTGACCAGTAATATGCCAGGAACTTAACTCTTACTTATATCAATTCACCTATGGTAAAATTGGTTTTGTTATTTTTTATGTTTTGCTTAAAGTCACAGCTTCCATGAAGCTATCAGAGACATTAAGTGAGGGCTTATTATACCTTGTTCATTTTGGATTGTCTGTATTTTTCTTACTGAATTATAGGAGCTCATCATGTATTCTGTATACAAGCCCTTTGTCTTAACACTGTTGCAAATATCTTCTCCCATTCTGTGGTTCTTTTTCTACTCTTTTAATGCTTTTAATGTATCTCTACATAAAAATTCTTAGTTGTTTTCTTTTTTTTTCTTTGAGGCTCTCACTCTGTCACTCTGGCTCTAGTGCAGTGGTGTGATCTTGGCTCACTTCAGCCTCAACCTCCTAGGCTCAAATGATCCTCCTGCCTCAGCTTCCCCATTAACTTGGAATATAGGTATGTGCCACCATGTCTGGCTAAGTTTTTTAATTTTTTGAAGAGATAGGGTCTTTCTATGTTGCCCAGATTGGACTTGAACTCCTCAGCTCAAACAATCCTCCTGCCTTGGTCTCCAAAAGTGCTGGAAATACAGACATGAGCCAAATTGTCTCATCTTAGTTTTAATATAATAAAATATTTTCTCATTTACTCCATGCTTTTTGTATCTTGCTTAAGAAATCTTTTCCTGTCTCAGGGCTTGAAGGTAATCTGTATTATCCTTTAAAACTGAGCTGTCTAATACATGAGCAACTAGCTGCATGTAACTTCTATTAATGACTCGAAGTTAGGTTCATTGAAATAAAATAAAATGAAAAGTTCAGTTCCTTGTTCATATTAGCCATGTTTTCAAGGGCTCCATAGTCACAGGTTTAGAACATTTTCATCATTGTAGAAAATTATACTGGTCAGATATAATAATTTGCAGAGCAATTTATACAGTAGAATTCTATTTTTAAAAAAACAAGCATCAAAACCACTACACTATCTGCATGTGTCTGAATTTGTATATGTATATAAGAAGTCTGCAAATAGGTACATCAAATGCTAACTAACAGCAAATTGTAAGGCTTTGCGTGACCCACAGAAGCAAATAATAAGCAAACACGTTGCAATATCTGTCTGAATGAGAGTTTAAAATGTACATATCTTGGTTAATGAAAAATACACTAGAAAGTTTTTTACTAAAAAAACACAAAATGTAGTAATTTGTATTTTTTAATTAGAAATATCAGTTTGCAGTTGCACACAATTGTCTCAGTGTGTATTGTTCAGGTCCAAGGGTGTCATTTACACAAACAATAAAGAGGGCTGTCCAATGCTGTCAATGAGAAATCATATATCTGGAAAGAAAGGCCTTTCTCAGGTCTGCTGCCAAAGTAGCCCGGAGGCAGGTTTCGTCTTGTCCCCAATACACATGTGGGACAGCCTGAGGCTTATATTTGGTGTTTAATGTTATTTTCCATTAAAAGGAAATCGAGATCCTTGGAGAATGGCTGACTCAACATCTTGGGGCTTGAAAAAGTCAACCTGGGAGTAGAACATCTTGTTTTTGCCAGAACATGAGGATCCTATGAGAAAATCCCTGAGTATTTCTTTTAGGAGCAGGCATGCACCAAGTTGTAGCAATTCCATCAAAAAGCCTAAAACCAAATGACATTTAATAAAATGCATTGGATGATAGCTACAAAACAAAAACAAAAATATAATGATATGTGATTGTTCTTGTTAATGATAATGCCTATGGGATAGTTGATATAGGAGAGTGAGTGTTGTTCCTATGAAGTATACATTGAATTTTTCTTTACCTATGTAGGCAAGAACAGGTAGATTAAGGAATTATGAGCAAACAAGATATTTCTGGGAAAAGAAGAGATTTTATTAAGAATGAGAAGGACAGGGGAATACCAGGTGTTTCCATAGAGTGTATCAATGTACAAGCAGAGGGAGAAAGCAGACTCCTCGGACTGGATTCTTATCTCTTGAATTAAAAAACCCTAGATAAGCCTTCTAATAATATGTGATTAAAGCATATCCATGTTTCCAAAAATGCTGACAAACTATATCAAAATTGTGAATAAATTTGAGAGGAAAATGAGTTTTGCAATACAAGCCAGGGAGAAAAAAAAAATCTAAAATTTTGTCTATGTTTTGTTTGAAGACATGAGCTTGAAAATTCCATTTATAAGAGAGGTTTTATTGGAAAAAGAGGGTGTTTTTGAGAGTCTATCTAGATTTGAGAGACCCTGGAAGACACAAGCAAGTCTCATGCCATGACCAGGGATCAGTCAATTAGGTCAGAACCTATCATCTTAGCATGTTTGTGTGAGTTAGTATTTTCTTTTGAGTCTGGCAAGATCATTGGAATTCTGTGGAAGTATAAAATGACCATAAAAAAGGTGAATAAATGAATTGGACGCACAGTATTGTTACTTATTTATCAGGGTAAGTAAAAAGTATAGAAACAAATTTTGAAACCATTCTGATACTCTGTTTTCAAAGTGATTGAACAACTAAAAGAGGTTGATAAATTAGACTCTTGATTATACTGAGATGGTTTAGAGAATTTGATTAATTACATTTAAATCAAGTTTTAAATATTTAAGATAATTCATGAAATGTAGAAACAAATATTTGTGATGTTGAATGTTTAGAAACATTGTGTTAAGTAGATTTACAGATTTTAATAAACCAAATGTTAAATAAAGAAGCATAAGCCAGGCTCAGTGGTTCATGCCTATAATCCCAGCACTTTGGGAGGCCAAGGCGGGCAGATCACCTGAGGTCAACAGTTTGAGAGCAGCCTGTCGAACATGGCGAAACCCCATCTCTACTAAAAGTACAAAAATTAGCCAGGCGTGGTGGTGGGTGCCTGTAATCCCAGCTACTCAGGAGGCTGAGGCAGGAGAATCCCTTGAACTAGGGAGATGGAGTTTGCAGTGAGCCAAGATGGTGCCACTGTACTCCAGCCTGGGCGACAAAAGCAAGACTCTGTTTCAAAAAAAAAAAAAAAAGCACAAATTAAAGTATTTTTCATGTCCAGCCTTAGTGTATTCATAAAACAAAAGCTTACTTGTGACCAAACAAAAGTACAGTTAAGAGATATTCGGAGGGAGTCTCTTTTTGGTGATGAGACAGTTTTGTAATCTCAATTATGGTGGTGGTTACTTGCATCTACATGTAGGAGGCAATTTCATATTATTATACACTCCCCAAATACAAATAAATAAATTTTAATTAATCAATTATTATTTATTTATTTTTTGACACTGAGTCTCCCTTTATTGCCCAGGCTTGAGTGCAGTGGCATGATCTTGGCTCACTGCAAACTCCGTCTCCCAGGTTCAAGTGATTCTCCTGCCTCAGCCTCCTGAGTAGCTGGGATCACAGGCACCTGCCACCACTCCTGGCTCATTTTTGTACTTTTAGTAGAGACAGGATTTTGCCATTTTGGCCAGGCTGGTCACAAACTCCTGACCTTGGGTGATCTGCCCCCTAGGCCTCCCAAAGTGCTGGAATTACAGGCGTGAACCACTGTGCCTGGCCAACAAAGAGTTTTTAAAGAGAACTCGTAAAACCTGAAGAAATCCAAATAATGTCGGTGCCTAAGTTAATAGTATTATATTAATGCTAATGTCCTGATTTTGACATGTACTATGGTTATGCAAAGTGTTGTCATTGAGGGAAGCTGGGTGAAGGGCACATGAAAATTCTGTACTATTTTTGAAACTTCTTGTGAATCTTAAACTATTTCAAAACAAAAATATTATAAAAAATATACAGAGATATTCATAATTTCATAAAGAAAAGACATGGGCTGCTCTAGTGGTGCAAGCACGTGCGTCCCTTTGCCTCATTTGGATGCTCTGCCTGTGATCTCAGGTATTGGCAAGACATCAGATAGATCTTGCTGAGTTGGCTAGTCCAGCTTTGTTATTTGTTGTTGCTATTAAGACTATTGTAGGATTTAATGCAATAGGAAACAGCTATAAGCATAAATACTACAAAACGGTCATCTATGTTTATATGTGGCAATTTTGCCCTTTGAATGGTGCCTCCTTAAAAATTAATCTTCAGGCATCTTCCTAGATCATGTCTTTCCACATAAAAGCTTTTTGCTATTAAAGTTGCCACACTCCCATTTAAAACCACCCATTTCTTCTCCTTGCACTTAGAAAGCAAACGAAGCTCCATACAACGCTTCGATGACCTATAAAATCTGCCTACTGTTGACATTTGTAATCTCGTGTTGTGCACTCCCCCTCTTCCTCACAGCATCATGGATACAGCGGCCTCTTTGATGTAGCTAGAACATACCCAGCGCGCCCCTGCCTAAAGGGCTCTCTGCATTTGCCGCTCCCTTTCCCATGTAGTCACACACTATCTAAAATGACCTCGCTTGTCACTCCCTGTCTCATCAACTAATATTATTTTCTATATCAATGTATTTATTTTTTTCTCCCTGTCTTAATTCAGAGCCTAGCATATAATTGTTGCTCAATAGACATTATTTTTGAATAAATGCATGCATGAATGAATGAATGAATGAATGCTCCTATTAATGGTGCTTATTCTGGGAAATATGACTGAGAGTGAGAGACTCATTCTACTTCTTACACCCCAGGGCAATCTGATATTCTTATACCGAGTATAAGCTAATTTTGCAACCGAATTTTTTAAAAACACATGCACATACACGTTTGTACTTAGAATAGATGACTACAAAGGTAATTTCCATCTTCAGCATTTTATGTTACACTTTCCAAATTATTCTCTTAAGATATAAGGAAGAAGTATAGCACAGTTTAAATGGTAAGGTGTCAAGACAGAATCAGTGTATTCCATTTTTCAATTATGAATTACTGCAAAAACATGAATCAATGTCAGCATCTAAGAGCCTTCCAGATTTCCCTTAATATAGAGATTAATGTGTACACCTGTGTTCTCACCCTTAATTCCTATAAAGATTAGGTCAAGAACATCAGTCCTCTCTGGCCACCGATCAGACTTTGGAGAAAACAGGCAATATCATGTTGGAGGGTGGAAGTGGGCGGTGAGGCAGTGTGACGAATGTTTGCAGATGGATTCTCCCCTTCTCCATCTGGTCTCTGCATATGAGAATGCAGAATATGTGCTCCTGTATCTTGGCCCTCGCTTTGAGGGTAATTACTGTTAACTTTGAATGATTTGACTTATCTGTTGTGAGGTAGACAGATAAGGGTTCAAAAGGAGAAATTATTAAAATTTTGGTATGCCCTTCCCTTTTCTGTAAAGTACTTAGGAAGCCTTCAAAGATACAAAAAATATGCCAGGGCAAGATAAAAGCAGAAGAAAAGGAGAAGGCCAAGAGGGGCATGAACATGAAATGAAACCAGAAATGAGGCTGAAACCAAATTTCTGGGTCTCTCAGACACCTACGTTCTTGTAAGTAGGGTGTAAACATTGGCTGTAACCTTTCTCAAATCCAGTTAAGAAATGAAAACGGGATAAATTACACCTTTTGCAATATTTCTAACATAAGTTAAATCAAAGCAGATGTTTTGTCAATTCACATCTATTCCTGATAGAAAAGCAGGAAAGACTTTCTCCTGAAAGTCTCTGAAAGATGGGTGTTATTCTTAATCTCATTTTTGCAGGGAGTTTAATCTCATTGCTTTTATTTACATGAGGCACTGGCATAACTCCAAGATGCAATTAGGTTAAAACAGTTCTAGGGTGATGAGGGTGATGGTGGGTGTGAAGTGGGGTGGTTGTGAAGGACACTTTAAAATAAATACATGTACCTTTAAAATAATCACATGTATTTTCTTTTCTTCAGTCATTCCAGGATGGGAATTGGCAGGAGTACTTTTTTTTTTTTTTTTTTTTCCTGTACCAACTTAGAATCTGCCCCTAGGACTAAGGAAAACAGAGCTGGGGAGAATGATAGTTACAAGCCAATAAGAATCATTTATTTCTGCCTCACTGGTCAGACATATTTTGGGCGCATGAGTCAGCACAGTGTGAGAGGAATGTTTGGGCTAGACTTTATCAGAAGTTATGTAAATTTTTCAGACTGACGAAAGCTATCCTGGATAGTTATTTGAGGCTTTGGGTAGAAGCAGGGCTGAAAAGGTCGGGGAGCTGAACTTATTTTGTGAGCGGGACAGCTCTGACTGGGCAACTTCTCTGTTCCAGCTCCCTCTGAAATCCCCTTTCTGGAGTTAATAATATTGTTTTATGTCTAAATCGCTCAATTTGATCAGAACCTATGTTTTGTCAACTCTGAAATATGTGACAAAAGATTTCAGCCTGTCAAAGCAGTCTTCCACATCAGATCAGACACTCAGGGCATTTGCTGGCTGGGAGGAGGTTAATGAACTGAGTGCATTCTATGTACTTGAATGTATGTGATTCTTAAGAGGAGATGGCAAAGATCAAGTTGTATTTTCTATCCTCAGAAAACACACAATCTGGTGGCAAAAACAGGCATGGATACAACTCTCGCAGAGCAAAGTAGAATGTGATCATTGCAGGACAAGCACAGAGATTTGGGAGCACTGAAGAGAAGAATGAAATTGTAGGAAAGGCTCTTGTATGCCTCTTCCATTGAGGGGCCTATCATTTAGCAGGCACTTAAACTTTAGCAGGCACTCAAACTGTG